CAGAATAAATTAGATAAGTTTATATTTCAGGGTCACAAGGTCAACGGGAAGGTCACTTGTTATTTATAGGTCAACCACATATCCAAGGGGGCATGCATGTCTTATGGCCTTTTCTACTTATTAACCTGGGTAACACATTTTTTGTAGTCCAATCGTATACTTTACTGTATGTTTTATTTGTGTAAATTTACCAACATTACAATAGAAAATTTCTTCAATTTTTCAAACTCGGGTAAGAACAAATTGTTTCTTTTCGTATTCTGGTAGCTCTAAATAGTCAGAATCTTGATGTTTTCATTTGCAAAGGTGGAGAAAAGGTTTGTCGTAACCTTTTTGAAAACAAGAAAACCAAATTGGAGCTTCGACAATCAGTTGCTGTAATGGAGAATATCGGGAAATCACGCCATCACCACAGTAAACGCCTCCCAAATCTCAAAAGTCCAAAAGGTAATTCCACATCACATCCAGAGTATCTTATAAAAGAAAACTTTTTAAAAATATATTTTATTGCACTAACAGATATATCTACATTTTCTAACTCGATTTGACTTGAAGATATGTGTAACTATTTGCGAACTTTTTGATGGAATGGTAGAGTATTAACAGAGCTACTAGAAGGATTGTTTATCAGGCAACTTATTGATGGAATGGTAAAGTATTAACAGAGCTACTAGAAGGATTGTTTATCAGGCATACTCTACAAATTAGGTGGATCTTTTATCCTTTGTTTTGGGGTGAAACTTCTGTAACAAGATAGATGAATCTGGTAAACTGCTTTTGTCTATTTAAACTTTTCAGACCCATCAAAGTTTGTCGCATTACTTGATCAGGGTTAAGCATGAATTGTACAGTTTATTGTATTCATTGGTTGCTTTAATTGTTTTAAAACAAATTACAATAAAAACATATAAAACATTGTAACTGAATTTTAAATATAATTTGATATATACTGTAGATCATATATTTCACTATATATCATTTTTGTGTAGACTTATTAGCAAAGTCCCAAATTTAAATGTATTTTTTAAAAAATCAATTTTATTTCACAGAGGTCATTATTTTTTTCAATGCCTTCGCTAGGAGTCGAACCCGGGACATCTGGCTAGTATTTTACCAGGGTGACATTTATTAAAACAAGGAATACATACCAGTTATTTTTCCATTGATGATTTCCAAATCCTGACGAATTTGTCGTCACAAAAGTATTAAGTTTATATGAAGATTTAGTGTCAGATATACAGCACATGTACTGAGATACATATCATAAATGTATGTTGGAAAATATTTAACAAATCAGTTTTAATCTGACATATTTTACTCTTCACAGCTCTGAAATCACCTTTCAAGTCGCCAACATTTCGCAACAAGAAGGTGAGCGAGACGCCTGCCCACAAACAGAAATGCCAGGCAGTGTTTTCTCGTATTGAGAAGGAAAGGCATCGTTCGCAGAGTGTCACCACAGTACAAGTGGTGGAGGAATCACCCGTAAAGGCTTGTAAGTAAACTGGGTAGTCAGGAAGTTAGAGTGTCTGGTGTGAAAAGCAGTGACTAGGAATTTGACTAATATTTTCACCTGTACATCTTTGCATGTTTCAATATGTATGTGTTCTTCCATCTCCGACAATAATTTTTAACATTGGTTGTAATATCTATTCCTCAAAAGTGATGGATTCTTTAAGTTTTATTTTGTTATTTTGTGTGTGAGCTCAAGGCTGATAAACTAAGTAGGCAAGTTACAAGCGGGAGTGCACCAATAGCACTGAGCTCTATGGTATCATGTCTTCATGTGTGTTAGAAAATGAGCTACAAAACCAACACTTTGTTGACTAAAGTATATGTATTTGCTGCCCTACATACGACCAGACAAAGTAATAGACGCTCTCCATCTTTGTGGGTCAGACTCCTCAACATCTGTATCTATAAACAATCCATCAATCTAGATTTTGTGCACTGTTTTGTCATCAAAGGGACATACAAAATGATTTATAATCATTTTGTATTCAGAGGAGTGACTGCTTCTCTTTACTAATTTGGATATAACTAGTAAATACTTTTTTGTTCTTTAGCATCACATGAAGCACCTCAATTTTTATTTACCAATTCTTACTGTAGTTATTGATATTTTGTAATCTGAATATGTATTTTAATTCGTCCATCCATCTTGTTTTGTGTGAATTTTTTATTGTTTTGTCTGTTCTGACAAAGTCAATAATTTTAAGACTTAGACGTATATCTTCAGAACTGTTTTAATCGTCTTATCTGTTGATTCAGGTATCGAACCAACAGACAGTCCGTCACAAAGAAAGAGGACTATGACAATGCTTCGACGTTCCTTTTATTCCGCTGGTCCTACCAAGAGGTCTCGCAACATGGTAAAATATTTCCAGCTAGCTGATCGTATGGCAGGCAGGCCACCTGTCAACAGGCTAAGCTCGGGTGTTTCACTTCACGATTTATCAGCAGAGTTCAGATCGCCAGATAAAAACTCTTCACTCATCTTCTCGCAGCTCATTGGAAGTCCAACACCTCCAAAATCGACACCAAACAAAATGGTGGTTACCCCAGCCAAGCACCTGCTCGAGTCACCAAGTATGCATACAAGATCAAGGTCACCTGCACGCTTGGAAGGAACCCCGAGAAAACACATTGTTGGTAAAAGTTTGTTGGAATCACCTTGCATGAACACTCGATCAAAGTCGCCGGGCTTTAGTCTAGGTCGTCCAAAAGTTTTGTTCGGAGATTGCAGTTCATCCTTTCCTGGTGTTGCTCAAGACCAGCCTGGAGTTTTCTTAAAAGAAACTCCAGTGAAAAATGACAGTTTGGTTGCAGAGTCTCCAAGCCAGAATACACGATCAAAAGCCACGGCCACACCAAAGAGATCTTCACGTGCAAAAATGTTTTTATTCAAGAGCCCTGAAAACAAACCCTCATCCTTAAAATCAATATGCACAAACATTTCTTCATCAAAATGCCTGAATTTGTCCAAGTTTGAAAGTGCGGACAGACAAAACGATCAAAACGATGTGAATTCGGCTAAGAGTGAGACAGGTAGTGTTATCAATTTATCCTGGATAGAGGCTAGTGGAGT